GATTATTTTCCCCTGTGTCCAAAGGCCATCAGCTCATTGTTATCCATGCAGGAGGAGAGCAAGTTTTTGATCACTAATGCCTATGTCCGCTTCAGATCCCACCAAAGAACAGGAGACTGCCACAGTGACATGAACTACACCAATTATGAAAAATGGTTAAAGGACCGACTTATTCCTAACCTTCCCCCAAATTCTGTCCTTGTCATTGATAATGCTCCCTAACATCGTACAACTAAACAGAGCCCCTAACTCAAATTCAAGAAGAGATTTTATGATATCATGGCCAAAATATCATCTTAAATCTATTACCTTCAATAACACTGATGTTCCATCCTTGCCGAATCCAGACATATATAATATGATCCTACCACTCAAACCGAAATACCTTTCCTATAAAATAGATGAAATCTTTGCAGAACACAATCACAATATTTTACGACTCCCTCCGTATCACCCAGAACTTAACCCAATTGAGTTGATATGGGCCACCGTAAAAAACTGGTTTGCTCAAAACAATACCACATTTAAGATAGATGATGTCATTAAACTGGCAGACCAAAAATTGGCTTCCATAACTGCAGAAAAATGGCAACGTAGGTGCCAACATGTAAGGAACATTGAGCAACAATTAATGGCTTGGGAAGGCCTTTTGGACGCAGGACGGGAGTTCGTCTTCCATGTTGGCGGTAATAGTGATGACAGTTCTGATGATAGCTCCGATTCATCTGGTGGTGACAAGGAAGGACAGGCATGTGGAGATGATTTCTATGCGGATATTGCCGGTGTTAGAATAGACCTGTGTAATTTGTAAATAAACTCTTCATGTATATAAGAGTGAAAAGTGTATAATAGTGTATAGTGCATAATAGTCTGCCATTCAGCACTTAAAACTTAACATCGGTTGTGTGAACATCAACGAGACTAAACCGCCAACACTATGCAACACAGTGCGGTAAGAAATTATTTCCTTTTGAGAACGCCTGTACTGCATTTCCCTTCCACACTAGTCAGCATGCTGGAGCTCTCCCCGTCACTACCAATACTTCTCCTACTTCGCGTCGGAGGACTGTCACTTTTAAATAGTACAACTGTACAGTTCCTTAACTCATTACATTTTGGGCGTAAACCGCCGCGCATAATTCATGATGGATTTCCACTCCACTCATGCTTTAGCGCGAAGAAAGCGGATAACAGCGGATCTTTCACAGCTAGCTGGTTTATCAGTCGGAGGACACGTCATGGCTCATTCGGTATGGACAATAAGGACGAAGGTACACCATGGAAACTGGCAACCGCAAAGCAACCGCGATTTCCGAGAATTGTTATCAGCCTGAGTTGAACCCATGTTAGTGAATAGAGCAGCGCAAATTGAGGATACGGCAACGCAACTCACGGAGAGACTGAGAAACTCAACTTCCAGGTAACGGAGCATGCCAGTCTTCTTACAATTGCGTTGCCGCGTGGTTTCTTAGAATCAGCTGTTCTGTAACCGTATATGACAGACGTGACTCAGACTATGCTAAGCAGGTCAAAACAGATTTGGCTCCGAAAATAATTTCTCATGAGACGAAGGAGTCTGGATCAAGGTTAAGTTCTTTCGAAACAATATAAGCTCCTCAGTTTAAATTGTCACAGAAAAACGGATGCACCCAATGTTTCATTTTCCTAATATTGTATTTAGGCACCCAGTTGCATTAAAGTAGCATTTATTTCACATATATTTCAGTCTTAGATACAACTTATTATATAGTAACCCTTCTACCATATTACAAGGTTTGGTTGTATACGGCCATCATCAGGTGTCTTATATCTTGTCCATGATATGTCATATTCGATTAGTTCCTCGCGTCATCTGAAGTGGGTGCGTTCGTCCGACGTAATGCATGATTGTACGTTTTAATTTTGCGAAATTACCTTCTGCAAAGGAAGGTAACAATACTGATCCTGTCATAATATGGTGGTACTTGAGACCGGTTGAGACGGCGTGAGAAGAGAGGACGACGATCATAAGGAAAATACTGTGATGCTAATTTACATAGTTTAATTAAGGTTAATTTATTTTAATAAGGAAATACCGCGTTCACACGCCATACGAAATTTTGACATACAGTGCAACAATTTTAGCAAGATATAAGACTGTTATATTTTAGCGTCCTGTTGCACTGCGGCCAACGATAAATTTCACAATAGAGAAAGAGAACCATAAATCTAAAAATTTCTTAGATATAGGAATATATAGAGAAATGGAAAAGTTACAATTCTCAGTCCACCGCAAACACACAGCAGTGGACATAATAATACCAAGTGACCCATGTCACCCACATGAACACAAGATATCTGGTATTAAATACCTCACAGATCGAGTAAATAACTACCCCATTACCAAGATAGCAAAAGATAATGAGATAGATACTATAAACAACATACTTATAAATAATAAGTACAACACAGATATAATTACAAAACTAACTATAAATAACAGAAAACAAAACATTGCAAAAAAGCAGAACATTACAGACAATTCAGAAGGACAAAAAACGAAATGGGCAACATTCACACATATATGAAAAGAAACAATAAATATAACAAAAATATTTCGAGACACAAAATTAAAAATAGCATTTAGAACTAAGAACAATTTACAACATATATTAAAATCAAGACCACGAATAAATAAATATAACAATAGTGGCATATATAGTATGAAATGCCTAGATTGCCCCATGGAATATATAGGACAAACTGGGAGGAAATTTAAAAAGAACACATACATGACATAAGACACAATAACAGCAATACAGGATACTCAGAACACTCAGATACTCAGAACAGGACATGCATATATGGTACTATAGAAAACACTATGAATATCATAGCAACAAATAAGAAAGGGCAATACTTAAACACATTGGAAAACTATCATATATACAGAACGACAAAGAAAAACACGCAAATGAACAATATAAATAAAGAAATATATAACCCAATATTTCACGAATTACACACTATTTACACAGAACAACATAACAACACCCCACCACCTACCGCCACAACGTCATAACTCAATCAAAATGAAGACAGTACACACACACACACACATATCCAGTAGTATAATGCACGCAGTCACAGGAGCAAGACACAACAAAGGGCACAGTGAGTATTAAACATTATAAAACCACACGTAATAGATAAAAGTCAGAATTTGGTATTAATGAATAACAATTTCACGTTACAGATACACATGAATGTAGGAAGAGTACTCCCACAGAGGAGGATTGGCGTGATTCGCGTATTGAGATAAGACGTAAGGATGACGAATCCTGAAAATTTTAATATTTAAAATCTATTATTATATATGACGAATATAAATTTTAGTCATTTTATTACGAAGACATCAGGGCATGCAATGCAGTAGTTAGACGTGCATAGAGAAAACGCACCTGAAGATGGCACATTAGTGCTGAAACATGTAGTGCAAAAGGGAAGAGTAAGGTGAAAAAGTGTGTGCACTGTAGGACGGTTAGCATAAATCATAGTATTTGTCAGTTAACTAAAACTAGAGTGAGAAGAAAGCAACAGGTTAGTTCTTCCCAGAACTGCTTCTTTTTCCTTGCATAATTTCAATTCTATATGGTCAATCGAAGAAACATTTACCATCTGTTCTGTCTTATTTTACCATTTCTTCTTAATGTTTTGCCCACTATTTCCTCTCTTTCTGATATCTTCCGGTGTCTGGCTAAGCCATATTGTTCTGGGCCTTCCATAAGTCTCTTCCAGTTCTAATGCCTTTCTCAGTAAGCTTTTTCTAGTCATTACTTTTACAGAACCAAATATCGTATTTTTTATTCCAACTACGATATTTATCTAAAAATATCGATATATAATAAGCAATATAAATTTGTACATGTTTGCATTCTTTGCATGGCACGAACCGATGAAATCAGTTAGGAGTACGTGCATTAAAATTGCAGCGGCTGAAGGGATGGGCTCGTATTTAATCAAATAGTACAGCGAATCTGTCAATAGATGACATGTCGATGTTCAGCGGAAGGACAAGCCTGCAACTGAAAGTCATTTAGGGGAATTACATAATGACATTAACCCTAAAAGAGACCTAGCATTTCTGAAAGGCAATTCTGTGGTGAAAACTGATAGTCAAAGAGTTAAAATGTTAAAAGTTGACGGAGTGGAACCGGTTTCTGAACCAAACAGTAACAGACAGATTCTTAATTGTATTTTCTGTTACTTCCCTTACGAATCTGACCTACTTATTTTTCGTTGATAATCAGAGTTCACTTCATATGTTGATCTAGAATGTATAAACTCATGAACCGGCACATAAATCCTAAAGTTTCTTTTCTGTGACTGTCCTTATTCCCCCGCGATGCAGAAGTGATTATAGTTAGTAGCTGCGGATAGGACTGCCACGCGAGAATGAGCAGTTTTCGTGCTTCAGTCTGTATTTCAATCTCCAACTTCCCAGAAAATAAATGCTGCTGTTAATAAGGTTTACTTCCACTGAAATCGTGGTTTAATGTACGTAGGTGAAGCAAGGTTAATAACCTGGACTTTATTTTTTCTCGAAAACATGGACATGGGAAGAGGTAGCGTATTGGTTGAGGCACTACGCTACAAGCAGGAGGGTCACGGATTCGATTCCGGACGAGATCTTTAGATTCTTCAATTGATCGAATCCTTCCAGCCGCACTATGGCCCTGGGGTCGACTCAGCCTTTTACAGAAATGAGTATCAGGTATCTTCTTGGGGGTAAAGGGCGGCCGGGGCATAAAGCTGACAACCTCACCGCCATCTGTGAACCGATTGTCTAGAGAATGTCGGAGCTTCGATGTCTCACAAACCTATGGGCCTTCACGCCCTCTTATAGGGTTAGCTTTACCTTTTTTTATGGGCAATTGATAGCAGCGCTGCAATCGCTGCAATCACTGCCTGGCAGGTGGCCATACGCACTGCGCTTGCGCATTAGAGCCAGTACGAGATGGTGTCACTCTTAGTGTAGAACAGTGTAGTATCGTGGAGATTCCTAGTGAAAGAGCAAGTGAAACCAGCGAAAGTTCTTGGTAGGTTAAACACTGAGTATGGAGAAGGGACCCTGTTACATGCAAGTGTCTGTAGTTGATACAATAATTTTCTGAAGGCCCAAAACATTCAAGACACAACTTTCAGTTGGCAAGATCATGACAAATGTGTTTTGGGATTCAGAAGGAGTGATTCATGTTGATTTTCTTGCACATTATGCAACAATCATTGTACAGTACTAAGTAATTCGTTTCGTAATGATGTGTACCAAGCGATTTGGAAGAAAATACTTGGGAAGCTGTCAAAGAAGATCATCGCTTGTTCACATACAGTAAATTTGACGAAAGCAGATTAGCAACAATGTGTTGGGAGAATCATGAATCACTTTTTTATATCTCTGATTTCTTACATAACTCCCAGTGGTCTTCAATATTTTGGACCAATGAATGTGCGCCTAGGAGGACAGAAATTTCAGGCTGATTATGGACTGTGACGCGTTGTCATGAACTGGTTACGCAATAAGGATACAATATTTTATGCTGCTTGTGTCAGTAACTTGCAGAACTGTGGTAAAATGTATCAGTGTAAAGGGGAAATAGGGAGAAAAGCGAGAGAGGAGTGAGTCTTGTTAAATTTTTCTTTTTGTAAAACATAAATAAATAAATAAATAAAGTGCAGGTGAACCTGGAACCACCCTAGGATAAGAATGGGATAGCGGAAGGGATGAGTGTGGAAATCGCCGATAGATTTGGAATGATTTTGAAGATTCTGTCAATTCGTTGCATCTGAGTTCGTTCAGAATAAAATCCAGCTGCAAATTAACATAAAGCAAGGCTGTTAACTGTATATGGGAAATAGATGGAGCATAAGGTTTATGGTGGTAATGTCGAAATAAGAGGTACTGATGAAATTTTTTGGTTCTGTTAGTGCTCATTTTTAATCTGAGGTCCAAATCATTAACCACAAAATGTTAAATTGGGTAAAACTGTGCCTGAAAGAAATGTAGGCCTGTCTCTGTCACTTATTGGTGAACTAGGTGGTAGCTAATGTGATGCTCTGGTGTCAGTTAAAGAAAGAATATATGTTGAAGTTTGCTTCCCGGCCCATAGAAGCAATATCTGGTATATATTATTATTCTATCAATTACTGTGCCTTAGTCTAAACGTATGAGATTTTCCAGAACGTCTGAAGTAATTGAATGTGGGTACATTTAAGAAGTTTATTTTAACAAAATATAGAGGCAATATTGAACATGTCTCTTCTTCCTTCTATTATTATTTTGGACATCACTCATTGAGCTGAGCCCTTCTTGAGAAGCCGCCAATCGTGCAGCCACTCAAGAAATTCCCAGAATTTTATGGAAACCGAATGTTAATTACCATGTTCACAAGAGTCCTCCGCTGACCCATATCCTGAGCCAGATAAATCCAATTTATACCATCAAAACCTATCTGAGATCCATTTTAATATTGTTCACTCACGTCTTGATCTTCCCCGTTGTCTCTTTCCTTCCGTCTTTCCCACAAATATCCTATATGCATTCCTCCTCTTCCCCATCCGTGCTACATGCCCTGCCTATCTCATCCTCCTTGACTTGATCACTCTAATTGTGCCTGGCGAAGAGTACAAGTTATGAAGCTCCTCATTATGTAGTTTTCTCCAACCTCCTGTCACTACTCTCCTCAGCACCCTGTTCCCAAATACTCTCAGTCTGTGTTCCTCCCTTAATATCAGAGACCACGTTTCACACCCATACAGACCCACAGGCAAAATTAAGTTTCGTGTGTTCTAATTTTTATGTTTTTGGACAGCAGACGAGAAGACAAAAGGTTCTGGACTGAGTTGTAGCAAGCTTTACCTGAATCATTCTCATTTTGGACATCTTTCCGCAGAAGAAAAAAATGTTTGCTTGTTTTTTGTTAAGGAAATTTTCTAGAAACTTTCTTACATGAAAACACGCTTCATATTTGGCGGCATTCATGACTCCTGGCCAGTAAACGACTGTCCGAATACGTCTGTGATATTCAAAGAGTTCTGTCTTTTGGGATATAGAGACTTTGAATCTCTTAGAGTGAAATCACGTTTCAGAGGAACACGTCTCCCCCATATTCAGGGTCTGCTTGTTAACTGCTTCATGCTGGTTACTTGCATTGCTTATTCTTCGGCCCTCAATAGGAAGGCGAAATACACTCCCGAAATGTCGTTTGACTTTCAACGGACAACTCGATGTTATGTTCCAGAAGACAGAACTGCTCTTAACAATCTCTGATGGAACCTCAAATCCTACACCATATTCAAAATTCTACATGCTCCGTCCTCTTCGGCTCTACAGATTTGTTTCGAAACAGGAGTCAAGAGACGAACACCCATATCCCAACATTAATAATTTATTTATTTATGAGCCGGGATAGCGCAGTCAGTATAGCGAGTACCTACGGACTGGACGACCGAGAGGTCGGAGTTAAGAGTCCCGGTAAGGTCAAGAATTTTCTCTTTTCCACGTCGTCTAGACCGGCTCTGGGGTTCACCCAACCTCCCATCCAATGAGTACCGGAGGTTCTTTCCCCTGGGGTAAAGCAGCCGGAGTGTGAAGCTGACCAGTCACCTCCAGCTAGTACCGAGGTCAAGGAAATATGGATTTATACATCCGTTCCCCCATATGCCTTCATAGCGTAGTGCTTAATCAGTTAAGCAGAGGGACACATTTACCTTTTACCTTAATTTATTTTTTATTTATTTATGGTGTATTAAGTACGCTGTCAGGAAATCGGACTTTATTGGGTCGAATGATAGAATGATTAAAAATGAATCAGAAGGAGTTTCATACGAAGAGATCGTGACCTAATCTGTGTTTGTCTCGGTATTTGCATGGACTGAAGAAAACCCCAAAATTTGTTAGTCAGCACCATCGGTGTTTCGAATGAAATTCGCACCCGACACCTCAATACACGATGCAGGTATTACATTTTACTGACGAATGAATTATATTTTGTTTGCATTTCGTTTCATACTATATCAAAAAAATTTTCAATTAGCAGTGACTGATTTGAGGAAGTACAATGTGTTTTATTTCAGGCACAGATATTTTCTATTTTAAAGGATTTTGAAAAGCTCAGTATATTTCCGATGTTTGAGTTAATGGGAATTTGCTGTTGTCATAAGTCAGCAAAGATGAGAACAAAATCTGTTATGCATCTTATCTTTCTCCTTCTTTTCCCGCCCCACGGTAAGACATCAGTTTCATCTAAATAATATTTTAAAAATATCTGTTCCGCCCTTGCAGAAAACATATAGCATCTCAGTTACAAATATCAAGCGGTTAATCACGTTTAGGGAATAATCTTTTTTTTTGTGAGAAAAAATCAACTATGGAAATTCACTGTGTGGGCAAAATACATAATTTCTTGATGCTAAAGCAGGTGGTATATGCAGCAGTCATTACTATCTGAACGGTTACTCATGTGTAATATCAGGCATCACATCCAAATAATGTGTTCAGTTTTTATACGTAATAAAAATAACACATTAAAATACAAGATGAAGGAGAAGTAAAAATTATACTCTGGTCCAAGTTATTGAGAGGGTCGTTAAATAAGATCAAAATAAAATAAAATAAAAATAATCCCTGGTAAAATATATTTACCGGTACCAGCAGGCAATGCAACCTTCGTGCACTGCCACTTGGATCGTTCGTTTCCTTCTGTGATTCTCTGAATCATATGATCCACTGCGCCGTGACGATAGGTCTTCACTCTCATTCAGCGTTTCGTAGTTGTTTCATTGTAATTAACTGTTGTTTTTGCGCAGACAAGTAAGTGAGGCAACACGAGATCATCCCACAGACGAAAGTGAAACAAGGCGACTGCTCCCGGACTGAGAGTGAAGTAAGTGAACAGTGGACATCTACACAGACCTGCACAGCAATCTTTCTGGGAATGACGACAATACTGTGCGTGCTTATAAAACGGTAAGCAATGTTACATACTCTGTACAAAGTTCGGATGTTATTCAGGGATTGGTCAGTTGGTTCCATGTTATTACAAAATGATGTCGAAACATGTGTCAAGAGCCAATCGTGATGTAGGGCTTCTTACTGATTGACTTCCTCACATCTTATGGGCGCCAGAAAGTCAAGGGTTGGTTGTGGCAAGCTAGGTATCTTTCACCCCTTCCCCACTTCGTTTAGAAAAATCCTAAATTAAAGAACAAGTAAATGTTTAAAATATTTTTACCCAAAATTAAAAGTGCTCTTTAAAAATATTTTTGTTTCCCGGATTTTGTAGTGGAATCAGGAAAGTAGTCTTCAGCGGCTCGAAAGTAAGTATGTAAGGTGTTCTGTCTGTCCCCCAGGAAAACTGACTCTCCTTCTGGAATAAGACGTCCTTTATTGGTAGATAAGTATCAACGTTTCGGAGGAAGCTGCTGCCTCCTTCTTTAGGGCAGCAGCTACTGGCTAAACGCGCTTAAGTTGAGAGACAAAGCTAGCACGATTCCACATGCCAGCTGTCTGTCTCACTCACTCTGTCAGTTGGTCTGCCCCGTCTTCAATATTTGTTTCTGCACATCACAGGTTGAAGTCCTTCCTAAATCAAAGTTTGTTTAGAATGACTGATTAATGATACATTGGAAAGGATTTGGAAGGAAGCCACGGTGTCCTAATTGAAGTGATATCCTGAAAGGACTGAGGAAAACCAAGAAAATCCTCAGTAAGTATAGCCGATGTCCTGGCCGAGATACGAAACGATCACCTCCGAAGTAGGAGTACACATCATTATCCCTACACCATCTGGGTCAGTTTTATCCCCCAAACGGAGCAGTTTCTGCCTATGTAAATATATGAAAATCAAGCGTTCCCATGAACAGAACGCACACACAGTCATAAACCATCTCTTGTTATTGCTGGCGCACAAAGTGTGACAGGGCGACCTACGTCACATTTTTCATCGCTTGTTAAGGATTCTCATAGGAAGTTGTTACGCTGTGCGCAGGCGCAGATCACCATGTCTTTTTGTTAGGTCTCTGTCTCTTCTCAATAACGGTCTCTAGCCGCTCAGATTTCACGCACCTACTCTATATGTTTCCGGGCGTTATCCATCGTCCTGTCTTTTTCTCAAAACACCGTCTTCTTTACATTACAAAACACAACGTTTCGGAAACTGGAGATAGGGACTAGCTCTATCGATTGGGCCCAACTGAGTCGGTTTTTCCCGAAGACGGAAAGAGAATGCAGTCACCGAAACGTTGCGTTTTGTTGTGTAAACAGGACAATGGCTAATGTCCAGAAACCTACTTGTACTGATGTACCGTCGTCACTGACTTTTAGATCTTATTTACGCTATACACGTATATGAATTTGTTTTCGTATAAGGTGAGATTCGTCTTTACACATGGCGTTTGCAACCATTTCTGTTATTAGCAATTCTATTCTTTAGTTCATCTATAATCCTTGTAGTACTAATTTGGTCTTTTAATTTCTGCTAAATAAATTTTCTGCAGTTTATCTTCTTTGTTGCCACTTCTTCAATGCCCATACTTCAGTGGTAAATATTAATGTTCGAATGGCCAAGGTGTATAATTTGAAAGTATAATTGGAAGTCCATATTTGCTTATATTATCTTTTACATATTTAATCTCTTTATCGCCTGCTACTCTAAAATTATCCAGGCGAATAAAAGTATCTCTATATCTAATATGTCATATACTCGTACGTGTATAGGCCAAATAGCCTACGTGTTACGTAGATCTGTACGCACACCCATCTAAGACCATGATTTGAACACCAGAGAACATAAGACATTATGGAATTATATAAAAATGCAAGTTCGGTGTACGAGAGTTCGCTTGCGTTTACAGAGGATATACAAGTATAGTTATAGTTATATATACAGTTATATATATATATATACAAGTGTAGTTATAGTTGTATTCGGTGTCTGAGAAATGACGTTGATCGTCAAGCGGCCTCGACGAATCTTTCGGTAACAAATGTACATAGTTTTTATCTTGGTGTAAGATTAAATTCGATGATGTTTGCCTGTTGACTCTTGCCGAGAACGCGGACAATGGGGATAGCGTTGAAATAAGACTTTTCATTGAACTTTTTGACAGGAATTAACTACTTTCCTATATTCTGTACATTTAATGCAGCATAAAGCTGCCTGATGATTACTGTTCGTGGACTTTCATGTTTACTTAATGAACATCGAGTCAAATGATTTTCCATAATTTGCAAAGAAAGTTATGGAAGCACTACACTGTACAATAGAGGAACATACATACATTATGAAGAAATTAATATGATGCCCGTTAAAAAATGAGCTGAGAGTGTTTTCATGAATGCTTAGCGAATGTTTAGCGAATGTGCGGGCTAATCTTGCCGGGAAACTTAATTTCTTTCAAAGTTTTTTTTCCAAACTTCCTTCTTGTTTCCCTTCTTACGAAGTGCCCATTATCGTCATCCCATTTTAACCCAAACTGGAATGTTTAGATCAATTAAGACTCCAACAGTTCAGATTTCATGAAAATGTGTTCAGCAGTTCTCAAGCAGTTACATGCATACAGACGGACGGACAGTGCCATATTGAGTGACGCTCCTCCGGGATTCGAATTCGCCTAAAGACGCGCACTTATATTCATGCTTCGAACAGAACTCGAAGTCGAGTTCCTAGTGTTCAGGAGCTCGAACACTACAAGCTCCTTAGACAATTTGTTCATGATATCGGCCCCTTTTAACATTTGTTTTGTAAAACCAGGGATATCAGGAAATTAGGAATGTCAGTAGCAGCTAAAACCGGTCACGGTAGCCGAGAGGTCTAAGGAATGAACTGTCTTCGTTCGCTTGGAAACCGGGATCGTGGGTTCGAATCCCACTCAGGGCATGGATGTTTAGTTTATGTGTGTGTACAGGTAGAGGCCTTGCGACGAGCTGATCACCTGCCCAAGGAGTCCTACCGAATGTGTAAGCTCTAGAAAAACTGAAGTGAACGGAGAACTTCACGGAGGTAGGCCTAGGCCCAGTGGGACTGTAGTGCCAAGGAAAAAAGTAGTAGCTAAAGAACTACGATCTTTGAACAAATGCGTAACAGATCTGTAAGCGTTTAGTGATCAGAGAATAAACGAAGTCGTTATGTAAATCAAATTATTGTACGTAACATTTAAAGCCAAGCAGTTACTATATATTCTGCATTTTGATCCAAGATTTCGCGAATGTCTTGTGTGATTATCGGAAAGAAAGAGGGGCCATTTGTCTAAGCCGCATTAACAGATTAGTCTGTAAGACGGAAAAGAATTGAATTTTCAGCAATTAATTAGATGAACTTGCTTCCCTCGCAGCATTCCTGATTTAAATTCATCAAAATTAAACCACCTATCCTTGAAGCCCCAAATTTCTTATCCAGATTATGCAACTGAAAATTAGCAAGAAAATAAAATTTTCACAGCCGTGGTCTACAAGCACTCACAGTATTACCTAACGTGAATTAACTCTTTCGCTGAAAAATCAGACTAGTGAGCACTTCCCAGACCCTGGATAATTTGGCGTACCAGTGTGCCGGCTGTTTGTCTCTCTTGTAGATGGACTAATCTTGGACGGTTAAAGCAAGAGACACATAGAATGCAGTCAGTGGCGATGAGATACTTAAGAACAGTTAAAAGTTCCATTATACTAGACTGTACGGAGAATGAAGACGTTAGCTAAGAAACGGAACGATACAGAACTGATTAAACAGAACTGATTAAATCATCCGGATAGAATGGCTAATGAAGGAATACCGAAATAGAATCTACGATAAAAAAAAAGTACGCCGAAACAAAGGAAGATCCTGAGAAAGACGAGATGAATATGTGAAGTAGGAACAGGCTCGATTTTCTGTACCATGAAGTGAAGAAGAAGAAGAAGAAGAAGAAGAAGATGATGAAGAAGATGAAGATGAAGTTGAAGTTGAAGATGAAGATGATGACGACAATGACTTTCAAGCTTCAAAGAGTTAAATAAGAGGCCAGAGGAATTCGGAGAACATTGGCTAAGGCTTGCTGCCTCCAGAGATACTTCAAGTTTTGTGTAATGTACACGAGAAATTGATCCGTGGGTTCAGAAGATCAGAGATAAAGCTGTAGACATGCGCTAAATATATCTCATGTAAACAGCAGTCTGGGATCATGGTCATCAGATTCTGCAGTCAACAAGAAAAACAACATTGTAGGAAAATTACAGCTGATGCTCGCGAGATCGATTTCATAAACAAACATGTAAACAGCAAGAAAGTGCAAGTTAACACGAGGACTGCAATCTGCTGAAATACGAGTATAATGTACGCTGATAGATCTTAACAACGATTCGTATGAACCTTCTGTCTCTATCTTCGTGGTAGAAGATTTTGGGAACATTTTAGTTTCATTTATGTTCTTGAGGGCTTAAATCTTTGGTCGTTAAGTAGTCTCCGTACTGACGATAACTATGCGAGATTTGAAGTTCTCACGGCCGTGATGATGACGTCATGCCATATATTGTCACGTATCCGGGGTTCCGTGACTAATAATAATGGGCTCTGGATCGGATGATCGGATTTATTGACACTTTCCTTATACTCATTTGAAATCACAACCAATTACAAGAACTCACAACCAATGACTGGCTATGACTTGCTCCATTCTGGCTGGACTGCGACAGGCTTCTCTTCTAGGCTTCCTTCTACTGGACTGACTTGGTTCTGCTTCACGGATGAATTACGCATGACGAATGACGAAGAACGAATCACTCACGTCTGCTTCACGAATGAATTACGCATGACGAATAACTTACGACCGAAATCCTGAACAGCTCATAGCGTTCTCACGTGTCCTGCCTTTGTAACTTCGGGAAGGACCGAACAGAAATCATCACCTCCAACAGTTCCTCTATTGTTGTGCGCTTATTCGTTGCTGCGGAAATCTTTGTTTTGTACTGAGTTGGTCTCTAGGAAACTATCT